ATCTCACAATGTTCACTCTAGTTCGCGGCTCGGGGAGGGGAGGGAGATTACATCTTGTGACGTAATAACTGTTACACAAAACTAACACTCGGTTGACAATAACTTTGCTTTTCAACTCCACCTGCTTCACAATAAAACAACTGAGATTTCGGCCAGCTCATTTCCGCACATTTCTACCTTTTCGGACACTTCTTTTTTGCATGGAAACGGTCACTGCAATAAATGGCTTCTATTTTCAATGATAGGTGTCCTCCTGCCAGTCTGCAGTTAGTTACTCAGCAATTTTTTTCAACAAATAGTCAAGTTCGACGGATAGTTTTCTTATTTATAATAAAAATATTTGCTGATGTTCGATGCATTCAGTCATCTCTAACACACCCACGTTCTTATCCCTATATAAATGGCATACCAACCTCGTATCTGAATTCACTATCAGTCACACTTGACTGGGAGGTAGTTCGTGTTGCTATCTCTCTCAATCAAAAAAAAGTCTGGGGATAATGTGTCTCTTTTCCGACGAAAACAAGTTCTCAATCTAGATATTTCTCATCTGGTTTGTTGCCTATTCATCTTCATTTCAACTCAGGCCAACTACATGATGTAACACAGTGGCATCACACGCGGAACTCATAGCATTGCACACTTTGTGATTCGAGCTGTCAAGAGGTCAGTGAATATGTACCATTGATGATTCATGACACGAGCAAATTCACTGTGCTGTACCACCAAGGCTTTTGAACGACGTACCTGAAACTGCAAGAGAAATGAGTTTCCGGGGAAATGCTCTGTTCCGTGGTTCCTGCTACTTTGTTCCTACAAAGATCACTTGATGCTGTGGCTTTGTTTTCTTAATCCCTGTCTGTGTTCCACTTCCATTTTTATTTAGCTTCTTTGCTGTCCTGTCTCTTGCATCTGGGACGAAGTGCGGTCTGATTGTAAGGCATGTGACCCACCGTCGAAAGCGACTTAGATTGTATAACTCAGTACAACACGGATCGGAACGACTCGCTCCATCTCTGTC